GTCAAGAAGAGTTAACAAGCCACACACACACACACACAAAAAAAAAAGCTTACATTACTGGAGACTTTCATCCCCAAATTAGATATACGTAAGATTTGTTCTGGAGGTACATTAGAAATAAACAAAAAAGCTACATAAATAGGTATACATCATATAAAAGGAGCTTAAAAGCAAAGATAGTGCTGCTTACAATGCTAAAGCATACTGTTTCGAATAATCTTGGTATTTCACAAGCACTGCCAGCATTTATATCTAGTATTTATAACATCCCGCAGTGCATATTCTCCCCCTTGTGGGCAAAGCAGCCATCTGCAACTTTACACTCAGGGAAGTCGGGATCCCACACAGACTTAACTACTTCCTAGGGTTTCTGAATTGAAGTTCATTCAGTTTCATTCCTCCTTTCAATTTCTCATTTAAAATACAATCAAGGCAAAACACGGTACATACTTCGTTTACTAGACATCCTAAGTACTTATCTATAGAACAAACAGAAATCAACACCATCAAACCTCATATTACTCAGATGAACTTTTCTAATTCTCAGTGACCAAGTAGAATGGAAGATAGCTGATCCCAGTAATATAGGCTAAGTATTTATTACATGCTTAAAGACAGAAATACAAAACTGGTGGTGTACACCTGTATTTGGTATAACAATAAAATAAAATAAAAATAATACCTTTCCTGTAGTTTTTTCAATTCCACATCTCTTTCACTTATTAATTCTGAGATGCTAACAAAATAATTGTGTTCCAGGTTTAACAGTGTCTCAGAAGCTGGAGAATGTATCAGATCATGATAAACATCTGCAAAATCTTCGTCCCAGCTGTTTTCTTCAGGTTTTGCATACTCTAACGTTGTCTAAAAATTATAAAAGATACGTCCTTAAGGGTACCAAATGATTTAAAATAAAGATGTCTTATAATGGTGGCACAAAACCAACTGGACATTCATTCTGATGTACATCCTTCAACATACATTACCTATCTCTTTCCTAATTTGAGTTGCCTGTACTCTGGCTTAACTATTATTATCTTCTCTCTTCCCATATACTTTCGTTTTGAAAGCATCGAACAGCAGAAGCATTTTGATTACAGAGAGGAATAATCAATTTTCAGCCACCAACCAATTGCAAAGAAGAAAATTTAGCTTTTTTTTTTTTTTTATAGTACCTTAAAATAATATCTGTACAATATTTCATCATTTGATGAATTTTAGATTGGGTTCAAAACATTGGCTATGCAAAGAAAAATGTTTTATTAGAAAGAAGAACCAATTGTTGATATATTTAGAATGTGATCAACAATGATTTCAGAAAAGCAATTTTTACTGAACAAAGAATGACCCAAACATGTCAATTCAGCAAGCTCTTTTATACTGAAACACTCCATATATTCTTATATACCAGTTTCACCTGATAAATGTAGCTGATGTATTGAATAATAGGTTAAGGAATATCAAAAAACAGTATAATCCTAAACCTCGCACAGAGACAAGGTTTTAAACAGTCTGTTTAACCTATTCATTTCTTCAGAGAAAGAGAGGGTAAACTCTTTGTTTGATCACACTCTTATGCTCCTCAATAAAAAAAAAATTCCTTCTTAAATGGTCAACTAATTTCGTTTTGTTGATGTTCATTAAGGCAGACTTTTTTTTTTGCCAATTTTCTTTATAACGGACATATATTCCCACATTTTCCCGCGATATTCTTCACTCTTCCATGACAAGTCAGGCCCTCAAACTTTTCCACAATAGCTGCAGTTTCTGTCATGCTTTTTTCTCTCCACTAGGACTCCAATTCCTCTGCATTCCTATTTTCTGAAGTTTAAACACAAAACAAATAACTAAGAGTACAAAACTCATATGAACTCAGAAAATGAGCTGAAAACCACATACCTCCTCCGTTGGAGTCCTCATTGATATTTTTGCAATTTACTATCTTCTGATTTGATTCTAATGCACTGTAACCCATACATCCACTTCTGTTTGACCGCAAATATCTGCTTTACCTATTTTGATTTTATAGCTCAACTAAATTTTTGCCAGTAATGACATAAATTCAGGAAAAACCTGATAAAGAACTTCCATGATCACTTCAGAATAAAAGGGAAAAATTACAAGAATTGATCAGTAAAAATGATTTCAGTGTAATTCTGCACCTTTACAAAAGTGATTATTTGAGTATACTCACAAAACAAGTTCTGAATATTAATTTTTCAGCCTTAATCTTACCTCTTTATAAGCTTTAGCCCAAGTATCTGCCAGCTGGTTTATGTCTACTTCTCCTGACTTCACAGCTTCCAGAGCCATTTCAGCTTCTCTATCATAACCTTTTATAGTTTCATCTTCTATGAACTTATTAAGAGATTGCTTCAGGTCTTTTATAACAAGAAGAGAACATTACATCAACAAAACCATGTCAATGGAATATCAGTAATCAGGTAGGAAACAAAGTTTTTTCTGAAAAGCTTTCATTTGGGCATCATACTTGCTTGTACCAATACCATATTCATAAATGTTTTGCTGTTCTTGTTTTTAATTTAAAAAAAAACACAAAAAACAACTTTTTTTCAGTACTTGTTTCTTAAGGTATCTGGTAAAACATTGACATTTGACATGAATTTTTTTTAAAAAAATTTCTTACCATTTTCTACAAAACATGGCAGATTGTGCAGAAGCATTAGACGTCCATGCAAATGACTAATATTCTCTTGCACAGGAAATTTGAGAGGCACTGTAAGCACAAAATGTTGATTTCCAGCATTGAGCGTGTACACATAGTCTCTCTCTCCAGCACAGGCCTTTCCTCTATTAGGCTTCATCTTCTTGAGTTCATTTCCTGCAGTAGCAATGAAAACAGCAATAATTACATTCTCATAAAATAAATAAATAAATAAATGCACGTCTTTGTTAATAATTTACAATTTCTAGCAAGATAACTTTTAATCCTGCATTTTTCATTGGTGTCCATCTCAGCTTTGGATTCCAAACACACAGGTAGAAGCTGTAAAATGAATATCAGTTTCCAGAACACTGAGTTATTTCAATCTGGGATTGAGCGCAGTAGGGTACTTATTTTCAAGAATTACAGTATAAACCTTGTGACTAAAAGGCAGAAAAAAGACAGAATAAAAACACATAAAAAGCTATCTTTAACTGAGAAACTGTAACTGCAAACAACTATATCTCAGAAACTGTAACTGCATACAACTATATCTCAAAAACTGAAACAGTTTGGAGTGCATTAGGATTTTATTGCCTCTTCTCCACTGGTGGTAGAGTTGTAGGGAGGAGAAGACAGCAGTAACTTCTAGAAGAAGCTTACTTAGTTCTTTTGAAATGTGCCTAAAGATAGATTGGATTTATTTTTAAAGGACACCATCAGAAGAAAGAAAAAAAAAAAAAAAAAAAAAGGAAAAAAGAAAAAAGCAAGAGAACTGTCTACAAGACAAAAATGAACAATGGGAGCTGTCTTGTGTCTTGGTAATTTTTCTCTACACAAGGTCTCCTTCATACATTTACAGTTCTCTTCTTTGAACATAGCCTGCAATGTTGGGCACCTTATCCTAATGGAAACTTGGAAACTTCCTCAGTGTTAAAAGCCACCGTCCAAGAAGAAGGAAAGCAGAAAACAAAAAGTTTATTCTCCACAGAAAAATTTATAGGATTAGTTTATAGGGTCACAAACAAGTCCACATGCTGGAAATCAATTAAGCAAATGACTTTAATACCGTTTACTCCACCTTGAATGCTGCATTCAATTCAGAGACTCCCACACAATAAAGACATACACCTGTTAGAGCACATTCAGAGGAAGACCACAGAGATGACCACTGAGCTGAAGCACCTTTCCTATGAAGACAGGCTGAGAGTTGTTTATTTTCTTGCCTGGACAACAGAAGGCTCCAGGAAGACCCTGTAGCACCCATCCAGTACCTAAAGGGAGCTAACAGAAAAGCTGGGGAAGGACTCTTTATCTGTAGTGATAAGACAAAGGGTAACAGTTTTAAAATAGAAGGTTGAGACACTGGAACAGGTTCCCCAGAGAAGCTATGGATGCTCAGTTCCTTAAAGTATTGAAGGCCAGGTTGGATGGCACGTTAGGAAATCTGATTTAGTGGGAGGTGTCCAAACAGCTGGAACTATCTGATCTTTAAGGTTCTTTTCAATCCAAACCATTCTGTAGAAAACTCAACACATAGCTGAAAGATATATCATCCTGTTTCATCTACAAGTTCCACACATGAATGAACATTCCAAGACAACCAAAACAAAATTGAGGCCGGCACATGTCCAGCTGTAGAGAGGGATCTAAACAGCACCACCTAGACATGCAAAAGCAACAAATATCTCTGTGCCACTCCTCGAGTAAACTAACTTTAAGAGGGGAAGACAAAGGATATGAAAAGTTTTCGATCCCCGTGTGACAGAGCACTGTCTGCATTTGTGTCCTCAAATCCACTGCGGGCTCAGGGTTAGCAGGCTCAGAGGAGCCGCAGCAGTAGCTGTGGTTACTGAAAACGCAGAAGCAAAGTTGGTGACACAAGGGAAGAGGAGAAGGGTCTGCAGTAACGTGTTCCCCGGGCGAACAAAGCCGCCTGCCCGGCTGCGAAGCAAGCTCGTTCAGCCACGAGACTGCAAGGCTCAGCTGCGGAGGTACGGCACAGGAGGGGCGGCCCGGCAGACAGAGCAGACGAACGCCGCAGCGGCTCCGGAGCAGTCTCACCAAGCCGAGGGGCGCTGGGCGACCGGCGCAGGGCCGACAGAGGTTGGGGTCGGCGCCCTCGTACGAAAGGCAGGAGTGACTTTCACCACCCCCATCTCTCACCTCGATTCCGGACGACGGATTCGATTTTTCTTTCCGGGAAGTGCCGACGCCAGGACGTCCTCCCTTCCCTTCAGTAGCTTCTCATCCGGAGACGCAGATTCGACGCCGTAGAACCGGCTGCCTCCGCTCCGCCTCTCTGTGGCGAATGTGCAATTCTGCTGCCGTCAAAAGAGGGGAACGGAGTCGTCAACGGCGCGCGTCTCTCGCGGCCGTCGCCGGCTGCAGCGGCGATGGCGGGGATGGTGCGGAGGTGCGTGACGTAGCTCAGATCGGGTCTGGTCGGGCCGCGCGGACGGGACGAGGGACTCGAGCGCGAGTGGCGCGGTTCGGTGGCCGCCGAGCCTCCCGCTCCTCGGGGCGCGCAGGCGTTGGGAGTGCGCGCCGAACGGCGCCGAGCGATTTTTCTTCGAAAGCCTCTGGCGCGCGCGCTGCGTCTGCCCGTCGCTGACGTGACATCAAGGAGCCTGTGCGTGCAGGTGGTGGCCCTCAGGTGGGCTCTGTAGGAAATATCCAAATAATTTTGTAGGACAGTATCTCTGATAAAGCAGATTTTATTCGCAATTGCAATGGCGGGCCTCTTGCAAGCAGGAGAGCCCCGAGAAAACAGGGTTACATCTTTTTATCCCCTACTGCCCGACGCTTATCTCTTTCTGCCCTGGTTCCTCATTGGCTGAGTACTGCAGGTTCACACTCTTTCACGACGCTTCACTAATTAAGTAAACGTAAATCTTTGCCGCCCAAACACAAATATCTTAATTGTTTAATTACCTTCTAACAATTGTTTTCTCAACAAACATTTGGTCTCAGTTTTTGGATGCCTGTTTTATAACATAAACATAGTCTCTTGATTGTTTAGTTACCCCCCCC